AAAAAATTGAAGCAAAGGAACTGGGGAGATGATTCAGTGTTTAAGAGCACTGGTTGCTCTTGCAGAGGACCTGGGTTCAGTTCTCAGCAGTCACGTGATGGCTAACAACCATCTGTAACTCCAGTTCCAGGGGATCCAATTCCCTCTTCTGATCTCCATGGGTGTTGCACAACACAGGTGCATTTACATGCATGCAGGTAAGTTTGGTGGTTACTTCTGATTTCTCAGAAGGTCAGATAATTCTTTCTCTTTATATTGTGAACCATTAGCGTGGATGACACCATTTTGATTTGGTCTGTCTAGCCTAGTGCAGGAGCTCATTCAAACCAAAGATCATGTATAAATTTTATTCAACCCCCTTTCCTGTCAGTTTAATAACTTTCTCATAGAAGTTTAATAAGGCAACTTCTTAGTACTTGGGGAAAAGTCAAGACTGACTATATTTTGCAGATGAGATTGAGTATGAAAACCAAAAAAGGTTAGAAGAAGAAGAAGATTTGAATGTGCTTACATTTGAAGATCTTCTTTGCTTTGCGTATCAAGTTGCCAAAGGAATGGAATTTCTGGAATTTAAGTCGGTAAGCTCTTTTCTTTTTTTTGAGGAGGAACAGAGTCTTCCTGAAGTCCCAGCTGGCCTGGAACTCACTTCGCAGACCAGACTGGCCTTCATCTCTAGAGATCCGCCTGCCTCTGCCTCCTGAGTTGCTGGTATTAAAGGCATGAGCTACCATACCTGGCATTTTTGAAAGAGAAGAAAAATGAATAAAAAGTATAAATAATTGTTTTTAAAAAGACATATGCTTATATATAATTATGAAAAAGAGTTATGTTTATATTTTCTCTTGCTTATTTTAACACTTTTGTACACAGAATGTAATTTTTGTAGCATAAAGTCCCAGAATTCCTTGCTAGAACCAAAGTCCCTTGAACACTGAGGGAAGAAGCTCAAGATAGGGAGGCCATGGAAATCCCTGGTGGAAACAAATGCAGTGTTGTCAGCCCTGCTTGGATAGTGATTCTGGCTGTGCCCTGGATAGAGCATCTGAATTCAGGGGGTGCATGGAAGCCCAAGCTTGGTCAGCTCCGCTTACCTAGCCAGCCAACCTGGGCACACGTAGCCTGCACCATGTGCTATGGGTTAGCCATGGCACTGTAGACCCCTTGCCTTCTCAGTTGCTAGCCCCTTATCCACAGGGCTGTGGCAGCAAGGCTGTCGGAGCTGCCTAGAACCACGGTCTCCATGTCGCATCCTTTCTGTCAGTCTTTTCTCAGTCTTGCCGTTCTCGCGATTTCACATTATAAGCAACCAAAGCTGTTTCTCAGGCTCTTTCCTTTCATTTTCTTCCCTTGTCACGAAAAGGGAGTCTATCCCCCACGCCAAAGGTTTGAGTCTTTAAGTCTGCTAAAGTGAAGTGGTAGTAGACAGATTAGCAGGAGGAAAAGCATACAACTGTTTTACATGTGTGTGTTTGTGTGTATTCCACACAAAATATGAAACTCAGAGAAGGGCTAGGCTGTTGAAGCTTACAAATTCTCTTCATCAGGAGGGTGTGGGCTATTTTAGAGGGGTAGAAATGATTTTATGAGGAATAAGTGGGCCTGAAGGGAAAACAGTGAGGCTCAGGATGTAGCCCAGTAATAGAGCACTCTTATAGCATGCCTGAGGCCCTGGGTTCAATTCTCAGCACCGCAAAAAACAAAAATAATAAAATGAAAAAGAACAGACAATGGTTTGGGACAAAGCTCCTCTGGGCTCTGGGTGTACTGTTTGATTCTCAGGTTTGTCTGTGAGATGAATTTGATTATCCTTAGCTAATGACATTTTAGTAAGATTGAAGGCCACGTGACCCCCCACTGGCAGATTTGGTCCTCAGGAGGACAAGGGACTGCAGAGAAAAGCCTCATCTAACACCTGCTCTTTCCAAATGCCTAACTTCAGATAACCAGTGTTCTGGGGGCACTGGATTTTGGGGTGATGTTCCCTGGACTCCTTCGCCTTCCATTCTTTTCTCTTTATTTCCAAACTTCTTCCTCCCTTTTGTCCTTAAGTCTCTTACTTTCTTCTGCTCTTCCTCCTCCAGCCTTCCATCTGCTGCTTTTCTCCTTGACTGTGGAACAATGCGTCCAATTGTATTTTCTTCCACTGTAAAAGTACTATCTTGCAAGTGCGGTGATGCATGCCTTTAATCCCAGCACTTGGGAGGTAGAGGCAGGTGGATCTCTGTGTGATCGAGGCCAGCCTGGGCCAGTTGGGACTGCAGAGAGACTCATCTATCTACTCATCTCAAAAACAAACAATAACAACAATAAAATTACTGTCTCAGCACTATTTTCCCATCTTGCATATCTGAGGTACACTCTTCGTTGTCTCTTGATGCTCTTTGGGGTTTCCTTCCCTGGAGCTTCTTGCCTACCTTATTCTTTATTGATAGTTCACCTACACATGGACAGTAGTGCTTTATAAAGATGTGATAGAATATCTACCTTGGTCATGTGGCCCAGTCTGCTACCCATAGTGAAGCCAGTACAGACAGCCCTCACCTTCTGTGGTCCCACTTAAGATGTTCAACTTTAGTGGTGCAAGAGCCACACACATTTAATAGAAACAGGACTTGAGATTTTGAATTTATGCTTTCCCTGGGCTAGTGATATTTAGTCCAGTCCTCACTCATGATGTTGGGCAGTGGTAATGACTGCAGCTCCTGGTTAGCCCTGTGACCACAAGAGGAATCAGCTACACAGTGGCCAATAGTTAGATCATTTGGAGCATTTTCGCATGTTTTCAACTTACAATGGCTGATAAGGAGGGGAAACCCAACAGTAAGTTGAGGGATGTCTGTATTCCCAGTTGGTGGTCAAGAGTACCAGTGGGTTTTTTCCCTCCTAGACTTGTTATAAAAATGAACCTTTGGGGGATGGAGAGATGGCTCAGTGGTTAAGAACACTGGTTGTCCTTGCAGAAGACCCAGGTTCGAATCCCAGCACCCACAGGGCAGCTAACAACTGTCTGTAACTTCAGTTCCAGGGGATCCAACAGCCTCTTTTGTCCTCTGAGGGCATTGCACAACACGGGTGCACTTACCTACACGCAGGCAATACACACATACACATAAAATAAAAATAATAAAGGAAATATAAAATTTTTTTTTAAATGAACCTTTGAAGAATGTCCAATTTTTAGACCTGTTTGCCTTTGCTGCAGGCCTTCCCCTCTGCGTCATGCCTGGCACTGTGTCCATCCTGCTCCCCCCCGCCACTGTTCTCTGGCTCTGTGACTCCATCATACATTTGTGTGTGGCTCCATGCTGACCCTGTACCGGGGCAGAGACACAGTGAGGATGTGACTTCTGGGCCCACAGATTTTATGTTGACGGGGAAAAACAAGCATACATGAAATCAGATGAGGATCCCATGATAAATACTATCATTGAAGTAAGCTTGGGAACCCCAGGAAGGGATATGAATGACAGCTCTGCCCAGGGAGGGACAGGGAAGAAAAGGCTTCAGCTGAAGATTCATTCTGGGGCTGGGGCAGATCTTTGATGAGCAAGGAAAACCAGCAGGAAACATGGGATGGGTAGGTCGTGTGGGTCAGGAGGGAAATGTTCAGATAAAGGTAATAACTTAGATCTATAGAATGTTGGTGCTAGATAGAGTAGGGCTTAGTGAAGCAGGTACAAGCCATGCCTATCTGGAGCACAGAAGAAATATTTGGGTTGAAAAAAATCAAAGTTTGAGTACTGATGGTTGCATTCCTAGGTTGGACTGAGCTGTCTGGATAGAGGATGTAAGGGGGATGTAAGGGTCAAAGAAAGTGCCAAAGTCCCTGGAACTGAAGTTACAGATGGTTGAGAGCCTTAGTGTGGATGTTGGGAATCAAACTCAGGTCCTCTGCTATAGCAGTACATGGTCATTAACCACTGCCATCTCTCCAGCCCCCTCCTTTTTTTTTTTTTTTTTTTTTTTTTTTTTTTTTTGTCTTTTTGAGACAGGATCTACCTGTAGCCCCAGCTGACCTGGAACTAGATATGTAGACCAGGCTGATCTCAAACTCACAGAGATCTACCTGCCTCTACCTCCTAAGTGCTGGGATTAAAGGTGTGTGCCACCACAACCAGATCAAACCCCTCTTTAAAAAAAAATTTTTTTTTAATTGCATTTATTGTTAATGGGGGAGGGACACACATACCACAGCATGTGGAGGTCAGAGGACAACTCTGGGGAGTCAGTTCTCTCCTGCCATGAGATGTGAAGATGAAACCCAGGTAGTCTGGCTTGCATGGCAAATGTTTTGCCCAAGAGCCATCCCTCTGGCCCACCACACTCATTTTTGGTTTTCTTCTGAATACCTTCTTTGATATTTATTTAGAGATAGGATCTCTCTATGTGGTCCAGGGGGATCAAATGACAGCAGCCTAGGTAGCTGAGGAATTGGCCGCTGAGTTTTCTGACAGGCAAGATGACTGCTCACGGTCTACCCACTGTCATCTGTTACTATGAATGTGAACTAGAAGAGATGTTGCTCTGTGATGGCATACATCATGTCAATGACAGTCTGATTTCTCTCTTCCAGTGTGTTCACAGAGACCTGGCAGCCAGGAATGTGCTGGTCACCCATGGGAAGGTGGTGAAGATCTGTGACTTTGGACTAGCCCGAGATATCCTGAGTGACTCCAGCTACGTTGTCAGAGGCAATGTGAGCTGTCTTTTGTGTTTTGTTAGGCTTACGGGAAACATCTGCACTCAGTGTAATGCATTTTTGATTTATAGTAACACAAAGAAAAACTGTTCCTGTACTTTGCTTATTTAGACTTAAAAGATTTTTCTGCAGCTTAATAAAAGCAAAATAGCCACACATCTATCCCTGAACTAGCGACTCAGAATAGATCCATTAGGGCTTAAGTGTGCGGTCTTCACTTTAAAAAATGTCATTACTTGCACTTATTTGAGTTTCCTTAGCTATAAAGTAGCTGTTGAGTTGTTTCCAATCGAGAGAAACCGAAGGCACAACAGGCATTTTTCAAAATATGCAATGCACAAATACTATCAAATTTGAAGGGCATAGTGGTTAGTCATTAATGAATATTTGTTATCCCATTAGTACAGGAAGACTTAAAACATGACTGAACTTACTTGTTAAAAAGAAAGAGCCAGGGTATGGTGGCATGTGTCTTTAATCCCAGCACTCAGGAGGCAGAGGCAGGTAGATCTTTGTGAGTTCCAGGCCAGCCTGGTCTATATAGCAAGTCCCAGACCAGCCAGGGCTACAAAACAAGAAAGAGAGAGAGAGAGAGAGAGAGAGAGAGAGAGAGAGAGAGAGAGAGAAAGAAAGAGAGAGAGAAAGAAAAAGAAAGAAAGAAGGAAGAAAGGAATGCAGGGGGGAGAAAGCAAATAAGAAAGTTATCTAAGGGGGTGAGGATGTAGCTCAGTGATAGAGCTCTAGCTTAGCATGTATGAGGCTCTTGGTTTAAACCCCCAAATTAAGGGGAAAGACAGAATTACAACACCTGGGCTTAATCCCCTAATCTGCTTCTTTTTGCTTATTCATTTTTGGGATTTCTCTTGGCATTATTCTATGTGTGAAATAATAACAGCAGCCACTATTGATATGTTTCTTCTGAGGAGCTCAGCACTTGCTTGGGGTTTTACATATATTAACTCATTTAGTTATCAAAGTACCTACTTTGTAAATGAGGAAATTGAGGCAAAGAAAAGTAACTTGTTCATGGTTACACAGCATGTGGATGTGACCAGGAAGTGTGAGTCCACAACAGCCACATTTCCCAAAAGGCTTTTCATTTACTTCCTAGGTTCATGGAATAAACCAGTAAACTCAATGCCAAGGCCCTGTGTTGAGGGTAAACGTCCAGTAAATGTAAAAAATCAAATTAATCAGTACACGCTAGAACCAAATACTCGTTGGCTTAAAATTTGCTCTTGGTCATTATAACTGAAGTCCTAATATGTCAACTACTCTGCATGGTTATGTGTGTTCCCGCCCATCTCCTATGGGAAGGTGAATTCCATTCAGAACCTTCTATTCATGAGTCAGGTGACCCAGACGGGCCCACTTGATTCATTCAGCAACTCTATTTGCATAGGATTTAAAAGAGGACTCCTTTCTGGGGCTCTGATTTTACCTGGCAGATTAAATATGCTAATAAAGTCCTGAAACAAAAATCAGAACAAAACCCTGTGCCTTGGGAACTAACCACCCTGTCTTGATTTAAATCAGGGGCTGGGCTTTCTAAATCAGACCCCTATTTCATACTACTGGAAAATTTTCAAGCCACAGAGACCAGCTAGTGTCATTTCTGAAAGCGATGACGTAGGTCCGGAAGCCACATCCTGGAGGATGCACTTCAACCTGAGTTCTGAGAAACGCTCCGCCCACTTACCTCGGAGCAGCTGACGAACTCTTCGTTGAAGGAAAGGAGTTCTGCTACACTTGCCTGTTCTAAGGGCAACCCTGGGTTCCAGAAGACTCTTAAAGGAGTGCATTATGTCTGTTAGAATGTTAACTTGGAAGTGAAAAGCTTCCACTCGAGGAATGGGCTATTTCAATTAAGCATGAAGGGTGGCCTTAGGAAGATAACAAATGTCATCATCTTAAAAAAAACAAAAAACAAAAAACAAAACATGAGTATGCTCGAGGAGACTTCATGACCCTCTCTCTGGCTCTTCTGCAGGCGCGGCTGCCTGTGAAATGGATGGCGCCGGAGAGCTTGTTTGAGGGGATCTACACAATTAAGAGTGATGTCTGGTCGTATGGAGTACTGCTCTGGGAGATATTCTCACTTGGTATGTTTGCCACATTGCAGGCCCCCCTGGGCTCTGGGCTTTGTGCCCCCAACTCCTTCTGCACCCCTCCCTAACCGCTTTGCCTTCCAAGTCAGAGGGTGGGTAAAACGCCATGCAATTGTTCCCAAGGGTTCTGGTCTTGCAGTTGTATATGTTGTTTGCCGGTGTCCAGAAATCTGTCTTCCCCACTGTCTGTAACTTGTTAGGAGGCTTTGGGACTTTTTAACCCACTTGCAGCCCCCAAACATGAAAAACACGCCAGCACAGCCCGCCTGAGTCCCTGTTTTTCTCAGGTGTGAATCCTTACCCTGGCATTCCTGTCGATGCGAACTTCTACAAACTGATTCAGAGCGGCTTTAAAATGGATCAGCCCTTCTATGCTACAGAAGAAATGTAAGTACAGATGGAGGTTGGTTGAAATCAGAAATCTATAGTGTGCTATAACTCTTCCAAATGTATGATCAGAAAAGGTTAAAAAAAAAAAAAAGAAAAAAAGAAAAAAAACCCAACAACACAAAAACCTTCTTTAATGAATGCTAAGCTCAGTTGCTTCTTCCTTAAAAAGTAGGGAAAGCAGAAGGGTATAGGGACAACTTGCCTGTAATTCCAGTACTTCAGAGGTTAGCAGTAGGTTACCCTGGGCTATGTAGCAAGACTCAAAAGGGAGAAAAAGAAAGGGGAGGGGAGGGGAGGGGAAAGGAGGGGAGGGGAGGAAAAAGGAAAGGGAGAGAGGAGGTAAAAGGGAGGAAAGGAAGGAGAGAGAGGATGGGAGGGAGGGAGGAATGAAAGGAGGGAAGGATGGAAGGAAGGGAGGGAGGGCGGGAGGGATTGGAGGGAAAGAAGAGGGAGGGAAGGTAGGAAGGAGGGAAGAAGGAGGGGAGAAAGAAAGGCAGGCAGGCAGCAGAGAAAAATCTCTTTTGCTTCAGGGTTTCTGAACCAAACTGAACTTTGCCTGTCCTAAGAGGCCCTACTTAGTGCCTTTGATTCAGGATCTGTAAGAATCTGACGGTCACCTCCTGCAGCATCTTCCTTTGCATCCACTTCTGCACATCATCTAATTCTCCTTCTGATATAGTGCACATTCTAGTGCAGTGCTTCTGATAAAGCAGACAGCATAAGGAGAGATGGCTCAGGGATTAAAAGCACTGACTGCTATTGCAGAGGACCCAGGATCCATTCTCAGTACCCACATGGTAGCTAACAACCATCCATAACTCCAGTTCCAGGGGATCCAACTCTCTCTCTCTCTCTCTCTCTCTCTCTCTCTCTCTCTCTCTCTCTCTGTCTTTTTTATATTCACTCTTTCTGTAGCCCAGTCTGTGGATTCAGTCTTCCTGTAGCCCAGGCTGACCTAGAACTTGCTATGTAGACCAGGCTGGGCTTGAACTCACAGAGATCGGCCTGCCTCTGCCTCTGCCTCTGCCTCCCAAGTGCTGGGATTAAAGGCATGCACCACCATGCCCACCCAGCCTGACACTTTCTTCTGACCTCCAAGGGCACTTACATACATGCAGGCAATACACTCATACACATAAAATAAAAATAATGATAAAATATATTTGTGGGGGCTGGAGAGATGGCTCAGTGGTTAAGAACACTGGTTGTTCTTACAGAAGACCCAGGTTCAAATCCCAGCACCCATATGGCAGCTAACAACTGTCCGTAACTCCAGTCCCAGGGAATCTGACAGCCTCTTCTGACCTCTGCGGGCATTGCATGATATGGGTGCACTTACCTACATGTAGGCAATACACGCATACACATAAAATAAAAACAATAAATAAACATTAAAAAATAATAATAATAAAATATTTTTTTAAAAAAACCACAGTGTAACAAGCTGCCCCACAGGGCAGATGCTGCTTTGAGGTATGGCCAGTGCCCATTTGGCTCCATTCGTTTCTCCACTTGGTTCTTGTTCCGTTGCTTTTACAGATACTTTATAATGCAATCCTGCTGGGCTTTTGACTCAAGGAAGCGGCCATCCTTCCCTAACCTGACTTCATTTTTAGGATGTCAGCTGGAAGATGCAGAAGAAGCGGTAAGTAGCGACTCAGACTCATGATTGTAGGTATACAGGGAACAGGCAAGTCATGGTACTGGTGCTAACGTCCTCAGATCCATTTATGCCAAGTTGTCTTCACCGTAATTGGTCTAGATTGCCCTTTGAGAGTTGTATAGGGTAAGGCCTATTTATTGATGTGTTTTTAGGAAAAAAGAAGTTTCCTGAAGATTTTACCCAACTGATTAAGAAATTAAAGACTCTTAAGGGTACAGTGTAGAGGACTAAACAAGTAAATAAGCCTCAGTCCCTCCAAAAGCCACTGACCTTTTCTAATGCAACAGAAAATGTAAGCATTGGGCATGGGACAGGGGATATGGAGACTGGTAAGTGCTCTGGCCTGGAGCTGTGAGAACTCACTCCAGTTCTGCTGATCCACCCCTAATAGATGTGTCTGACAGCAAGTCTCTTTACCTCTCTGGCCTCAGTGTGCTCATCTGTAAAATAGGTTGCAAAACTAGATGATCCTTGAGCTGTGGGAACTTGGGATTACCTTGCTAACTCCCCCCTCAGCACAGGCAGTACAGTGGCGCTGTCCCAGATCAAGTGAACCAAGGATGGACCCCTGAACTCTCAAAACCCAGATTCAGATGCTGCCTCCATCACTTACATCTCATGACTGGGTTCTCATTTAGTCTTTTGTAGAGGGAGGAGACAGTCTCAGTTTCCTGATCTAAATATGAGATTAACAGACCTTTGTGGAAATATAAGGTGGAATAAATAAGACAATGGATGTGACTCACCTCACACAGAAAAGTTAGTGTTTACTCATAAAATGCTAGTTAAGAGGCCAGCAAGATGGTTCAGTGGGGAAAGGTTCTTGCCACATGAGGCTGGCTGATGGCCTAGTTCAATCACCTGAACCTATGTAAATGTGGAAGAATAGAACTAACTCTACAAAGCTGTCCTCTGAGCCCCACACATGTGCTATGGCATACATGTCTACACATATCTTGCACACACACACAAATAATTTTTTTCTTTTTCAGAATTTCATACATGAGTATCGTCTGTGCATTATTTCCATCCATGCCAGTCCCCCACCAATGCCTCTTTTGCCCCCACTCACTCTCAATTTCTTGTTCTCATCTTTATTATTGTTACATATATACAGATGTTAATATATGCATATATGAGGACTATATACATAATCGCACTGAGTCCATTTAGTCGTGCTCATGTGTACCTGGGTTTAGGGCTTGAAATTAGAGGCGTTCTCTCTCAGGGAGCTAGTCTGTGGGAAAAATGGATTCTCCCTCCTTCAGCATCCACTAATTGCCTGTAGCTCTTCATCTTGAGGTGGGACCCCGTGACATTTTCCCCATCCACCTTGGCATGTCAACTACTTCTGTCATACAGATCTCGTTAGACTTCCACACTGTGGAGATTTCGTTGGTGCAGCTTCCCTGTCATATCTAGAATGCATCAACTAGCTTGTCCTTCTGGCTCTTACGTTCTTTCCATTACCCTCTTCTGAGATGTTCCCTGAGCCTTAGGTGTAGGGGTTACATTGGAGATGTACCACTTAGGGCAGGGCACCTCACAGTCACTTACTCTGTGTGTTTAACCAGTTGTGGAACTTTGCAATAGTCTCCATCTGTTGTAAAAAAAAAATGTTTCTTTGTTGAGTGGTGAGAGGTACACTTGTCAGATCTGGACACTGATGACAGGACTCCAAATCCCAACAAGGCCAGGCAGCCTCCACTCCACAGGCAGTCATGACTCCAGGCTCCAGGACTTAGAGATTAAATAAAAATGTTTAAATGTCAGTTAAATGTAAACTTGAGCTTAGCATGGCGCCAAATTCTGTATCTGCAGCACTTGGGAGACCAAGGTAGAAATATCATGAGTTCATAAGCAACCTAGGCCACATAGAAAGACCCTGTCTCATAAAGTAAAACCCCGATTTATTAAATGAATTGTCTGGTGTGTGAATAGTTGACTCCATTTTCAACTTTCAGTTTTCTCTATAGACCTCTTTTAATGGTGTGTGTCCTTTCCTCCTATTGAGATTTTTTTTAAAAAACCACATATAGAAGCTGAGTTATTATTGCCAGGGAATTGGGTCACAAGACTTGGAAATGGAAAGCCCTGAAGGAATTTAATGTGCTGTTGGGCAGATGAGCTCCTTAAGCAGTTAACAATACTGTGAGAGAAGTAGAAGAACAGATACAGAAACACGGAATGAACTGGGGGAGCTGAGAGGGACTGGCCGATGTTCACTTTTGGGTAATGGGCTTGGGTAGATGCTAGGTAGTAGGCTTTGGTATATGTTAGATAGTGGTTTGAATCTATGTTGGGTAGTGGGCTTAGGTAGATGTTAGGTAATAGACTTGGACATGTGTTAGGTAGTGCTTGGGTATATATTAAGTAGTGGGCTCCTCTGTATGTTAGGTATGGCTTGGGTATATGAGATCTCATCTGAGCAAGGCTGTGAAGAGGGAGGAACATTTTGGCTATTGACTAATAGAAGCTGAATAGGGTATTTCAGGCTGACAGAATCATTTAAATAAGGTTCAAAGCAGGGAAAATGAGTGGAAATGAATACCTATGACTGACTCACAGGACATGGCAAAGATGGAGACAAGGAAGGCTGTGGAGGCAGCACAGACAGGTGGAGGGCCCACAGTCCAAGATCCCCTTGACTTTGCTCGGGACCATCTTGGGCTTGGTTCAAGGTTCACTTTCTGTGTCCCCACGCATAGCATGTCCAGATCTCCATCTCTGTGTTCAGGGGGCCTGTGACTGATGGTAGCCAGGGCTGATGAATCATGAAGGAAGCCAGCTTTTCATCCCAGTCCTTCCCTCTGACCTGACCCTCTGTGCTGGAAGGCCTTTTTCCTGCTGGCCTTTCCTACTGGTGTCTAAGGCATTTCCATGTGTAGCACATACAGAAAACAGTAGTTCCTTTAAGCAAATTAGAGTGCCCCTGTGGGTGGGAAAAAAAAAAGATGCCACTTCCTTGGGCTCAGGCCTGAGCTGGTCCAAAGAAGGAAGCAGGGTCAGCCCCTACCTACCAGTTTTGCTGGGCACTTCTTTCTTTCTTTGTTTTTCCTGTGGTGCTAAGAATGGGTGCTCTAAACTACACCCCAAACTCTGTTCTGGGACCATAATAAACATAGTCAGTCCAACAAAATGAGGAAGGAAAAAACAGAAGGAATTTTTGGAGATAGAAAATGCAAAATAGAAAGGGTTAATAAACACACCAAAGAAACAATTTCAGAATAAATAAAATTGTTATCATACAGGACACATTCACTAACCTTAAGGCACTGAAATGAAATATCACCAACAACAAACCAAAAGAGCCCCAAATTTATATGCCCAAAAGTTAAAGATCATGGTTCTTGGGGCTGGAGCATAGCTCAGTGGTAGAGTACTTGCCTGGCATGCATGAGGCCCTGGGTTCCATCCCCAACACTGCTTCTTAGAACGCTCCTTATTTTAAAAAGAAGGAAGGGGATTGGAGAGATGGCTCAGTGGTTAAGAGCACTAGCTGTTCTTGCAGAGAACCAGGTTCGATTCCCAGCACCCACATGGCAGCCATAACCATCCATAACTCCAGTTCCAAGGGATTTGATGCCTTCTTCTGGCCTCTATAAGCATTGCATGATACAGGTGCACTTATATACAGGCAAAAACACTCATATATGTAACAATAAGAATAAATACAAAATAAAATAAAATTTTTAAAGGAGAAGGAAGAAGAAGGAAAAGAAATGAAAGACAATTCTACCTATTAAGCCCATAGCAGAGGCAGGACAGCTGGGAAGTGTTCGTTTTATGTCAGTACAGCAGTCTGAGGAGGTGATGCAAATGCTAAAGGTTATCCAGATAACAGAAGTCACTTTACTCTTTATATGTGGATAGTTTGTGGTGGCAGGATTATAGTTCTATAAATAACAATTCATCTTTTTCTATTTTTCATTAAAATGAGTGGTCATTAAAACTGTGGAAGTTATCCAAATTCATAATTTTATCTTATTTACTTACTTTTAAAGATTTATTTTTATTTTTTACTTGTATGTATGTATGTATGTGTATGGGTGGCTACAGAGGCCAGAAGGTGGCATTGGATCCCTGGAGCTGGAGTTTCAGAAAGCTGTACACCATCTGATGTGGGTGCTGGGAACCTGAACTGGGGTCCTCTGGAAGAGCAGCAAGTGCTCTTAACCACTGAGCCATCTCTCCAGCCCCCAAATTCATAATTAAAATTATTGATTTATTTTTAATTAATTGATTAATTTACTTTTATGTTTGCCTACATGTATGTAAGTGCACCCATGCATGCAGTATCCACGAAGGCTAGAAAAGGGTATTAGATCCCCTGATACTGGAGTTATAGACAGTTGTTAGCTACAATGTGGGTGCTGGGAACTTGAACTGGGGTCCTCTGCAAGTGCAGGCAGTACTCTTAATCACTGAGCCATCTCTCCAGCCCCTTAAAAATTTTTTTCCTCAAATTCATAATTTTAAATGGCTTGTAAAAGCCATTTTTATTGAGTAATTTGCCTTATAGGCACACAGCTGGTGAGTCTTGGATTAGGTGGTAACCGTCTCTGTCTCTACCTATTTCCAGATGTATCAGAACATGAGTGGCCACATTTCAGAGCGTCCTTCTATCTACCAAAACAGGCGACCTGTCAGCCGAGAGGCGGGTTCAGATCCATCTTCACCACAGGCCCAGGTGAAGATTCATAGAGAAATGAGTTAGTCACGAGGCCTTTGTCTCCCGCTCACCGAGACAGGCTGTAGATTGCCAAAACAAGATTAGCCTCATCACTCAAAGGAAATACATTATCAGCTGCTGCTTCGCGGGACTTTCTTCTAGAAGCTGTCTGCCATTACTCTTGTTTTCAAAGGGACTTTTGTAAAATAGAACCATCCTGTGCACAGGCAGGAGGAGCCAATAATGAGTTTGTTGGTGAGCCTCAGAGCCTTTCCCTGGCTGCCTTGAGGGAGAGCCATGTCCTGAAGTATAGTATATTCTTGTATATACATAAAACAAAAATGTTTTGCTAAGAAGCTAATATGATTTTTTTAAATCTATGTTTTAAAATAATATGTAACTTTTTCAGCTGTTTAGTGATATATTTTATGGATGGAAATAAACTTTCTATTATAGAAGTGTTGGCTATTGATTATTTATTTGAGATATTTAGGGGAAGACCTAAGTGGAGTTCATGACTGCTGAGGTTGTATGCCATGCTTTGTCTGTACATGTGTGGTTGTGTGTTGTTCTGTTGAAGGCCCATTCTTGGGGAGACCTCCTTGTTTGTTTGAGACAAGATCTCCTTACATAGCTCTGGCTGGCCTCAAACTTGAGATCTTCCTGCCTCAACTTTGAGTGCTACGGTTAACAGTGTGCATCATCATGCCTGGCAGAAGGCCGATTCTTTCACTGGATTATTAAAAGCATCCTTGAATCTTTTGGTCAGACAACATGTGCTATGTCTACTCTCTGCTCTGAAGCTCCCCTCCCTACATGGTTTACCCTTGGTCCTTTGAAGCCTAGAATCCTCCATCCCATAGGCTTATAAACTTGGCTTGATTTGTCCCCTAGCATGCTAGGTACCACTGAATTCTGTTTCTTTGCTCTGTTCTGTTCTGTTTTGTTGGAGGACAAAATCACACATATCTAAGGATGACCTTGAACTTCCGATTCTCTTATCTCTATCTCCCAAGTGTTGGGATTCTAGGCTGTGCCACCAAACCTGGCTTCAACTGATTCTCATTCTAGTCTCTTCTCCATCGAATGTTTCTCTAAGTTGTTGCAAGATCCATCTTCCTAAGTGCTTATTTGAGTATGCTTTCACACTGAAAAGCCTCCAGTGGCCACAGTCCCTTGCAAGTGCCAGTTCTCTCCAACATCCACACCAGCCTGGCTCTATGTCATTTCTCACCACCAGCTGCATAATGCTCTCTCTCCAGCCAAAACCACCTGTAAGGCCCTGGGTGTGCCTGGGGCTTTCCAGCTTCCACTTCTGCTTCAGCCTCCTCCATGCCCACTTCAGATGGCTGCCTCTGCTGGAACCTGAGAGGGCTTCTCGTCTGCATCTGCGGGCTGGCTCTGCACATACAGCCTCTTATCTGATGCTGTAGTTAACGTCTTAGGTAAATGCCCTCTCTTTTGAGTTGGAGTTTAAGCAGTTTCAAGGAAGATGTGATTTAGGCTAGGTTATACACTTAACTCCAATTTGTGTATATAGTCAGGAAGAAATAGGTATAGCTATTTAGCTTTTTAGCAACTGAAGTAAAAGCATAAAATGTGCTTAATGTTAAACATTCAACTAGTGTTATGTTTTTACTTATAGTAGTAAGTGAAATGCTCCCTTTAATCACATAACCCAAACAGTGATACACCTTTTCAGCAGAAGTACTCTTTGAGTTTGAGGTATATTTTTCTTAGCTTCTTGTCTTAATGTAGTTACATCACACACACACACACACAGACACACGCACACACGCACACACACACGCACACACATGCGCACACACACACACACACACACACCTTTGCTTTTGCATAAATGGAATCAATCATATTAGCCATGTTGTCAAATGTGCTCTTGTCCTTACTAATAGGAGAACATTATCCCAAATCTGCATCCTTGGGAAGCCTTTGTTTTGATGTGGATATTGTGCTAAGATTTACATACACATGATCACTTGCATCCAACCTTCACAACTATTTACGAAATAAGCACTAAGATGATACCGAGTTTTTCTCTGAGGAAATTGAAACGGTATGGCATTATATGTAGACTCTACCATTATTTATTTAACGTGCTAGTTTAGCTTCCTTTTTGGTAAAAAGGCACATAACATAATATCTATCATCTTAATCCATTTCAAAAAATAGAGCTTGTTAGTGGTGAGCATATTTACACTGTTGTGAAGCAATTTTCCAGGACTCTTGTCACCAAATCTAAAACTCTGTAGTATTAAATATTTTCAATTCCTCAACTCCCACCCCCTGGCAATCACCATTCCACTTTCTGATACTGTGAATCAGACTGCTCTTGAGACAGAGGCAGGAGGAGCCTTTAGTGACTATCTTTTTGTGTCTTGTTTTATTTCACTTAGCATGGTGTCCTAAAAGTCCATTCACATTATAGCTTATGCTAGAATTCCCTTCCTTTTCAGGGTCCACAACCCATTGTCTCTATATAGCAAATGTTATTTATCCATTTATCTATCAACAGATGTTGGACTGAAGCAGCCTCTTGGCTATTGTGAATATTACTGTTGTGAACATGAATGTGGAACTATCTCTTCGTTGTTTTTGAGACGAGTCTCATGGCAGCCCCAGAATAACCTAAAACTTCATATTTATCCAAGACTGGACTTGAATTCTTAATCCTCCTACCTGATCTGCTTCTACCTCCTGAGTATGGAACAGGTGTGTACCATCATGCCCAGTTTATTTATACACACACACACACACACACACACACACACACACACACACACAGTGATTGCTGGATCCCCCAGTAATTCCAGTTTTAGTTGTTGCTGTATTTTTTTTAGTCTTTTTTTGAGACAGGGTCTCCCTGTAGCCCCAGCTGGCCTGGAACTTGATATTTAGACCAGGCTAGCCTTGAACCCACAGAGATCTGCCTGCCTCTGCCTCTTGAGTGCTGGGATTAAAGGCTTGTGCCACCACACCTGGTGACTGTATTTATTTTTAAAGATTACTATAGTAAACATGTTTCTTCAGCCATCTCATTCTTATTTTTCTTCTCTTTTTGCATGAAATGTTTCTTTTTTATTTTTTTATTTAAATAATTTATTGAGAATTTCATACATGCATATAAGGTGTTTGGATCAAATCCATGCCCACTCCCTCCCCTCCAACTCCTCCCATATCTCCCCATCACTTTTTTCTGATAACTTCATGTACTCTTTCTTCTTGTTTTTCTTCTTGCTCTTCTTGTTCTTGTTCTCCTCCTCCTCCTCCTCCTCCTCCCCCTCCTCCTTCTTCTCCTCCTCCTTCTTCTTCTCCTTCTTCTTCTTCTCCTCCTCCTCCTCCTTCTCCTTCTTCTTCTTCCTCCCTCCTCCTCTTCTCCCCCTCCTCCTCTTCTCCCCCTCCTCCTCTTCCTCCTCCTCCTCTTCATTCTCTTCCTTCTCCTCCTTCTTCTCCTCCTTCCTCCTCCTCCTTCCTCCTCCTTCTCCCCACTCCCCCCCCC